TCGTCGTATTCCATGTTCCACAGACCGCCATGTCCATGTTCTACGCATGCTTTAGATATTTCTTTGAACTCCCTTGGGTTTGGTTTCCACCCATTCCTTCTTTTTGCGGCTAAGAAGTCCAAACTGCGACTGCTTAAGACGTCTTCTGAAAAGTCTTCGCCTAAAGTGTCGCAGGCACTTTGRATGCGTTGATGTTCTATTTCTGGGCGATATAGAGTACCATCTTGGGTCATAAACTGACTTCCTTCCGGATCCATTAACCAAATAGAATTCTCATGGATTAACTCCACCAATGGAGAACTCTCGTAGACCTTTGTATCTTTCTTTTTAGGAAATCTTAGTTCTCTCCAAGCATGCGCATTGTGTTGATAAATGACAATAGGAGCACCTCTACCTCCGTACTTATGCGTCCCAGGATAAATGTACCCATCCGTGATATCCTTTACGTGTATGCGCCTTTCTAAGACAATTTCTAATTTCTTGATGTTGTCTATTGTAGCTCCGGCCCTCTTAGTAGCATCTTCCCATTTCCTGATGGCTTCTCTTCTCTTTGGGGTACGCTTACCGCCCCGGGAGGAATCTTCAAAGAATTCCCTGACTAACTTTCCTACGCAGTTGCCAGGATGTCGCATTGGTTTGAGTTTCCTAACGTCTGGCTCCTTAATCTCATACGCACCGTAAATTACTACTGTAACAGGGTAAGCAACTTCGTAGAACAACATGTCGATGCCTACCATCGCTCCAGGCCTGGTATTCTTGTTTAGGATGAACAAGCTTTGCTTACCAGACGCCCGAATAGGATTACGACCTCTTTCTATTATCCATTCACCGTCGTAATACTTTATAAACGTCAACTGTAAGCGGTAGTTACCTTCAGGCATCAGGTCTATTATCTTTTCGGCTCTTTCTTCATCCATGATTTCTTCTGTCTCCTTCTGTGAATGTCGTGAAGGCGAAGTCGGCGTCCAAACGATCCAATACCTGGGTTCGCAGCTTCCGTACAGTTTTGTTCTCAATGCTCGCGATGGCGTCCATCTATATCTCGGAAATATTTTAACCTTCGTTTGCGACACTCTCGCAAACACAGCAGCAGTAAGGGAATTATCGCGCCGCTTGGGTAATACCCACGGCGGACGCACGTACGTGAGCGCGGGTAATACCCATGTAATTCCGGAGGGTGGCCGCGGGTCCCCCTTACTGCTGCTTCTTAACTGAGACAACTAATAAAGATCCCAATGCATCAGCTTTTCCTAGGACTACTGAATAATCGTTAGGTAGGTTATGTTTGAAGGTCATTTCGTGTGGCAATCCTGTGGTGAGAGCATAACCGTGTTTAGCTAATTCTTTTCCAGCGTGATTGGGGTGTAATGTCCATTCGGAAGCGTTACGCCTTGATAGTTTGATCCTCCCTTATGCACGGTGACCATGCCATTAACCAAGTTATACCAAGAATTGTACAAAGAGCAACTTATGAGCCGAACCTTATGGGTTTGATGGGGGATTCAAAGTGGTAAAGTTATTCTTGTCGCTTTCCAAAAAGACGATCATTATATTAGATACGCTATAGCGGCTCCTCCGGCCAGCCCTGCGATACCAACGAAGACCAGCTCGCTGTCTTTTTGCATTTTTGAAGGCTGGTAGAAATTCTTAAACTGAGGTTTCATATTTTGAAGTCGGGATGCGCCTGTGCATAAAGTTTAAAAGCTTAATCCGCATTTTCGAAGTTCTTGTCGGCCTGCATCTTGTCCCTATAGTTCTTGTCCAACCAATCCCTGTAAGCTTGTCTTTTTTCATTCCAAGCTGCTACATCCCTTTTATATTTTTCCAACGCCAAATCATCCCGTTTCCTCTCAGCAGCGCCACTATGATCGCCTCTGACTAATCTATCCAAATACTGACCACCATAATTAGCTCCAGTAAATGCTAAAGCTGCAGTAACTCCGCCTGCAACCAAACTAACCATTTATATCTTAGAGATGATGTAATTTTCCTTCTGCAGATAATCCTTTGCCATAATAGCCCCGCCTACGGCAGCGGTCATCTTGGCAAAATTAGTAAAGCTCTTGCTTGGGTCTTCAGTAAAGTCTTCCTTAAGTACCTTCTTGCCTACCCAACCAATACCTGCGACAATAGAAGTAATGATAGCTGCTTCTTCAACAGTTTTCAATAACGCGGACGACATTATATTACAAAGTGAGAAGGTTATTCCATTTCTGGTGTTCTACTTTTTGGGGCCGCAGGTGCCACTGGTACATGATGTTGCACCGCAGGTTTATTATTTGCGGCCCTCCACTGAAAGTAAAGGCTGCCCGCGGCCAAAGCGACTCCTAAGGCGCCCATGACATAACCCGGATTGATTTATGAGTCTTCCTCTTCTTTTTTTTCCTTCTTGGCCTTATTCGTCCTGTTCATTTCTGCGAGCCTTTTACCCGCAGCTACTCTGCCCGGAGCTTTGGGCCTGTTAATTTTCGCCTCCTTCTTGGGGGGATTTCTGGGGTTGTTCTATCTTTGGTTCGGGTTCACTCATCTTATATTAAAGGATATAGAAATATAGATTAGTTATAGTGCTTGAGAACGAGGTTATTCCGGGCGAAAGCCCTTGGAATTAAATTCGGAAAAATTAATTTCCGACCTCGCTGGGAATCGAACCCACGATCTTCGGAATTGTACTACCGATGCTCTACCAGATGAGTTAGAGGTCAGACTGAGAGCAGGCCGGGGTGAAATAGATGTTAGGTCGCGGTAATTATGATGCAAAGATGAGAATATGTGGAGTCATATATTCTTATATTAAAGGACTTGATAAGTAACCTGTAAGTACTTGAAGATGACCCACGGATGACTTGTCTAAGTACTTGGTAATGACTTAGAAATGACTTGTCTAAGTACTTGAGACGACTTAGAAATGACTTGTCTAAGTACTTGAGACGACTTACAAATGACTTGTCTAAGTACTTGAAACGACTGGACCAGGTTCTTCAGTAAGTGCGGCAGTGAGTATCCTTTCGACTTCTCTGTCTTTCTTAAAGTCCTTCCAAGACATCGTAAGTTCCTTCAAGTCGACATGCTGAGCCACGTGAAGTGCCGCAGAGGCGACTGCCATTAACTTACCACACTTCAAAGACAACCACCCACAGGTTATCTTACGTTCTTGGGCGATGACATAGTCATCTTTTATGTCCTTCTGTAGTTGCTCCACGTCGTCTATGGGCAGTGCAAGTCCAAGCAATTTAGTTGTCAACTTAAGAGCGACTGTCTGTAAAAATCGAGAATGGTCGGACAACTGTGAAAAATTCAATTTCTCCATACTTTGCCCAAMAGACCCTTATGGTAAACTATTTTCGAAAATAGCATTAAAAAGTTTATTAAAAAGTTTGGCCGATTTTTATTTTTGGCGAAATTGAGAAAAGTTGAAATTCCCGTACGACGGCGTCTGGCGGCCTTCCAAGTGGGTGGAAAATGAAGCATTTTTGATGATCGCTCACGACCTGACGAAAGGCCGTTGGAAACTGAAAATCCCACAACTGATTTACCTATGTTTAAGCTATCAACACATATAGTTTGAGCTATAAAGACGTTTTATTTATTTTTATTTTCTTACTATGCTGAGGGCAGTTCGGAGCCGCTAGAGAAAACATTGTATTAAGGGCAAATTCAATGCAATAATTCTCCAATGCGCTATACAGTTTTACAGAAAAAATAATTTTCCCTTGAAGCCCAAATATCATAGTTAGTCACCACAAAATTTCTAACTTGGCCCGCTAAAAGCCTTACTTCTAGAGAAAGAGTTCTAAGCACTACTTTGACCTATTGTAACACAATCTCGCACTTGAGCGTTACCGAGATGATAGGCCTTAGCGGCTTTTAAAAAAATGTTCTGTGCTTATAGATGGCTGTCGTATTAATTTTTGCTTGTTATTCGACAGCAGAGGTATACGTTTTATAATATTAAGATGATAATATYCGAGAATCTAGGTACTGACCTGCAACAATGGACTACAAGTTACATTCCTACAGTAACGCAATCCAATAACAACAAAGGCCTAATATGATAATTTTGCACAAAACCAA